GGTGATGATAATTCCTCTTCTGGATCTTCAAGGGTGTTGGGAGGTGGGATTTAATTTGCAATACATTGTTTCCATACTGGACTCCATCCACTTTCTAAGAAACACTCCTGTTTGCTCTCGGAAGGTCTGATTTCCAGCACAGGTTGTTTCTGCAGTATGCTAATCGAGTGCTAAGCTGTCATGGCTGTACAATTGCAAAGGCAAAGAACTAAGGGCAATGCCTTCTGACAACAATTCAGGGCTAATGACTTGATTGTGTAAACAACCTAATCCAAGTAATCATAGATCTCTTTGCCCTGAAAGAGAACAGAAATTGCAGTAGCTTTATCCATAAGTACCTTTAAGCATTGGAGATGTACCATCAAGGTAGAGTCCGATTCCTCCATTGTTCAAGAGAACATCTTTGGACTATAATTCAGCTAATAAGAAAGGGATGATGTCAGTATGAGGGATTTAAGGAGAATGGCGTTTTCATCACAATTTACTTCGTACTCTAAAGACCTTCTGGCCCCAAATGACTGCTGCGAGACTCAAAAAAGGTTTTTTCTATTTTCAGTAGCCTTGGCAATGGTTGTCAGTCATAAAGACTGTTAAAGAAGATAAAGAAAAGACATAGCAGTTCTACTTCATCTAGTAAACAGTTGACTCCAGTTAACCCTCAGCACACACATTTCTTAGTAGATCCAGGACTGGCTTCTGTTTCAGCTTTATCGTCTCTCCTGACAGGGCCTCTTGTATCTCAAGTATTTGGACATTTTATTGAGTCTTTGCTGCTGATTTTATGTTTATCACCATTTAGCCACAGGTGGTTTTACTGCTACAATATTGACTAGATTTAGAAAGCCTTCCAGGATCAGCCCTTCCACCCTGTCTGGGGAATTTCCCACTAGAAACCAGAGCACCATCTTTCCAGGAAGAATCCCTTTTTGTGGTGGTTTTCCCCTGCAACTCACGTACCCGTGCAGCTAGGACCGAAGTGGGTTTTGCATCCCACTTCCTCATGTCCTCTCTGTGGTCACGTAGGTAAACCCACAGGGCAGCCTGTGGTGTGTACCTTCTGTATTCTCTCTCTTGAGCAGAGGAGTGCCTGTTTCTAATAGCTGAGATATGGGCCCGTACAGATGGGGAGTAGGACATATCCTTTTTGAATTGCTGGCACTTCCAAAACAATTCCTCCACGGCCGAGACAGAGGCCTGGAGGAAAGAAGAGAGACTTCCTTCATATTGCTGGAGTTGGCTAGCCAATTCGTCCATCGTTTGTCCTTCGCCTTCTTTCCACGGCATTACTGCCAATGAGTTGGCATAACGATGCTGGTGCACTTCGTAGAAACTTCTGCTACAGGGGCTGTGTGCATCGGACTTCATCTGGATCTAGAGGTGAACTGCCCGTTGCCCAGATCATTATAAATCACCTCCAGCACAGCTAGTTCCCTCAGGTACTGGATACCTCTCTCCATTGTGGTCCACTTGTCTGGGTGACATGTAGCATCTTTTTTGAAGGGGTACCTCTCCTTCACGCCTGACAGGAGTCGCCTCCAGAGGCTGAGGGCTTGTGTCTGCTTTCCAACCGCCTTGTCAATAACCCCTTACCTAGACAGGGAGCCCAGCTGCTTGGCTTCCCTACCTTCTAATTCCAAGCTACTGGCCCCAGCATCAGAGCAGCCAGGTGACAGCGTGCTCACCTGGGTGGCAGCCAGAATCCTTTTGCATATCTCGCAGCTCACTCAGGGATAGGGATTGGGTGATTATCACTGGTTCTGCCTCTTCCTCCTGATGACCCTGGTTCACTTTCATCCCTTGCTAAGTGGACTGGTTTCTTTGTGGACTACTTCTGTACAGGGGCAACTGATACTAGCACAGGTTGGTTCTCTGGTTCAGCTGTAGCGCCTGTTGGTCTGTTTTCAGGTCCAGAGACTTTCTTTTCCCCTTGAGGGCACTGAGTATTGTTGAGAGTGGCTCAGTAGGCATCGGCCAGGCAGGCCCCAGCATATTGCAGTGATTTGTGTCTCTCTGGAATTGCCAGGGTGACAGCATACCTTTTCCAAACGTTTTACTAGTTTTTCAGGATTCTGTGTTTGTTCAGGGGTGAAATTCCAAAACATTGGGGGTGACTACTGTCCTAGGCACTTGCCCATGCTCTCCCACTCGTAATTATCCAGCCTCAGGGCAGATCTCTGGGTGGTATTCTTGGAAAAATGTTGTTTAACTGTGAACAATACCTGGGACACATTCAGGAGACACAGCAATAAGAACATGCTGGCTTGGGCATCCCAGGGATATTCAAAGTTCTCAAAAACTGCTATAGTAAGCCTGAAGGCAGAAGGAGATGTGGAAGAGTGGGAGAAAGTATCTCCCTTTGTCCCTCCCGTGGACTGGGTGCGATTAGTAACAAATTGTGAGAGGAAGGCGCCCAAAGAATGGACAGGACAGCAATGCTGCATACAAATACCAGCTTAACCTCATGACCAGTGAGCAATCATATCATAAATCGACATTAGCCAGTGGAGCAAGATGATAGTCCTGATCACCCTCCCAGTGGTCACAAACATCACCTCAGGGAGCACATAGTGCATGTACAAGCTTACACAGCACCACCATGTGAACACACGAACCAACGTGGTGACCCGCAGTTACTTAACTAATATAACAAATACGTATGACAAACTTTCGACGCACCCTCGCCTGACCTACCGTTACCTCAACCCCTCCGGCCCCACATTGGGCACCAAAAAGGACCATGGTGGTTTAGGCCCAGCTGGGAGCAGGGCACCACAAGGCTGCTCGCTCACCCCTCCCACCGAGTCAGGGTGGGGAGGAGAATCTGGAGAAAAGGGTCAAACCCCACGGGTTGAGATAAGAACAGTTTAATGAAACAGCACAAAGAGAGAAGAAACAACGGTAACAACAACACTAATGAAATAATAGGTACAGCGAGACACACGGAACACAACAGCTCACCACCTTCCCGTGGCTCCCCGTTATATACTGACCATGACGTCAGCATGGTATCGAATACCCCTCGGATACTTCCATTTGGCTGTCCCGGCTGTGCCCCCTCCCAGCTTCTGGTGAAAATTAACCCTATCCTAGCCAAACCCAGGACAGCCCCTCACCCAATAAAGTTTAGTTGCTCTTCCCATTGATTCAAGGTTGTGGCTCAAGGGTGTGATTTGAGGCCTGCTGTTTGTCTGTCAGCCTCTTGCTATCTAGGAACCTGTCAAATATCCTTCCCCATTGATAGCCCAGAATGAAAAGTATATCCTGCACACTGTTCGTTACGGGAATCCATGTGTGCTCTGACGTGGGACACGCATGCCACATCACCCAAGTCCTTTCATAACTGATCCATCCTTTGCAAATTGACTGCTTTTCCCATGTGACCTTACGAGTTAACCCAGTCATCTTCAGAGAAGCTTGTTCCATTTGGAAGATCTCTGCCTCCTTCTCCCGTAAGCTTTGCATAATCAATATTTTCAAGATCCTTGCAGCAAAACCCGATTTTCTTTTTCCACATCTGTTTTTGTAGTCCCATGTGGTGATGGCTGCATTATAAAGAGCTTGTCATTCTTTTGGTCCTGCTATCACTAAGTATAAGAAACAGGACAAAAAGTCAGAAAAAAAGAAGACAGACTGCTTGGGACTGTGAACTGCAGCCTATTTAGCCTGTGAGAACTCAGTGCTAGTTGGGAAGTTGTCTTCGTTGGAGATGCCACACCAGGCAGTCAGCGCCCCTCCACTGATGGCCCTTTCTTTCGTGTTTGCTATAGTCCTGATGAGGTATGACTGTGTTATCTCCTCTTACCATTGCTGAGTGAAAAGAACGTGGGTTTCTCAAAAGATTATTCACACCACTTACACACATTGCAGCCCTCTGAGATTTCAGCTTTGTATTAGTGGAGTGATATCAATTTTTTTAAAATGTGTTGGAGATCTGAGACTTGTCTCATTTGTTCGTAAAGATTATGAGGGAAGCTTATATTTATACTTTTTAAAGTATACTTTTAAAAGAGATCTAACCAGAAGAATAATGAATAGGAGTGACTCACTCTGTGTGTAAGGAGTGACTCACCTCAAAAAAAAAAAAAGACTATTGAGGTGAATTTCCAACCATATTAAACCATACAGTAACCTGTTTGCCTAAGGCAGCCTTTACGGTTTAGAGAACTGTAAAACAGTGCTCTGAGGGAGACTGCAGCCACCATCCCCTAGGTCTATGTGCGGGAAGGCATACATGAGTCAAAACAATCCTGTTAGACTTTGGTATTCAAAGCAAGCAAAGAATGCCATGCAGCAGAAACAGAAAACCTCTAAGCGATGTACCTCAAAGATCTAGGGTGGCTATAGGGAGAGCAGTTGGATGAATTTAAGAAAGAATTCAGCAGTATTATGAAAAACACTTGGGAAGGCCTATCACCACAGACCACTGAATGTATTCTGGGAGAGGCTGCTACTCCTTGGCCTTGTCATTTGCTGTTGGTAAGGTACTGGGCTAGATACGTGGTTTGGCCTGGTGTGGCCATCTTTGTATTACGTTTATATATTCAGCTCAGCCACCTAGGCAGATATCCTTCACTTCAGCACTGTGCATTGGTGGTTCTGATGTAGCATGCATGTGGATGAAGCTTGAAAAATAACTGTTACTGATTTTAAAAATAACCAGTTCTCCAGATAATCTGGCTATGTGTGTTTCTGATTTTTGTTGGAGATTGTAGTTGTGCCATTGTTTGTCCTGAGTGACTGGGTGTGCTGTGTTGCTCCCAAAAGATTTTGCTATCATAGGTATGTGCAGTGGGAGTAGAATATAAGTGTATTCGGTTACTGTAGGATGAGTGTTTCTTCTGTGTATTTTGATTCTTTACGAGCTTAACATAGTAGTATTTTCTTTCTGCTGAATGTGTACTTTATATAATAATTCAGGGTTTTTTTCCTTAGATTTTCAGAAGAAATTCCAACAGAAAAGAATGAAAAGAAACGTGATATTCTTAACATTTTTTCAGTTGCTTCAGGCCATCTATATGAACGTTTTTTAAGGTAAGGAAAGGTAAAAGGGAAATGAGAACGTTCATCCTAATATGCAGGAGCTTAAAGAAACTGACTTTTTTAAGGAGGTGTAAAGAATAAGTTATCAAAACATAGAAGAGTTATATTCAGTGAGGAACAATTTCATCTTTGAGAGCAAAGTGATTCAACGTATAGATGTTCAAAAATACCATTATCCTTTGAAGAAAGAAAAACGTCCTGCATGTCTTTCAGGAGTGCATGTGCCAAGTGTGAACATAAAGGATGGAGCTCAACCTGTCTTTATAAGGACATAACAGCAGTGACTTCATTAGAGTTATATCTATTTATTTTTAGTCCCAACTGTGGATGCTGCTATGTGCATGTACGGCCTTACTTATCTCAGTGTTCATTCAGTAAGCAAGAGTTGCTTTGAGGGAATTCTTACAGTGTTGCCTAATCTGGTCACAACCATCACTGTTACTTTTCTGATTTCTATGAGTGCTTGTCTACAGGTGCCAGATGTAGTGATTTTCCTATCCTAAAATGGAATTTTACAATTCTTTCATGCATATTTATTTGGAAAGTAGTATTTTGTGTGCATTGATTTTTATTTCTTACTAGTCTGACAGAATTTGAACATCTGCATTTCTTTCCTTCAACCTACTATGACCTTCATAGAGGGACTTGTTTATTTCAAAGGAGAAAAAAAATAATTTAAAAACATTCTACATGCTTCTTTACCTTATTTTAAAGTTTATTATTTCTCAATTTTTAAGGCAGATTTGACCTCTAGTAAGGTTGTAAGGCATTGCTTACCTGTCTGTTTACACCAAACGAATGCCATAACAGTGAAAAAAAACAAACCCAAAATAGTGATTTTTACAGTTGTCAGGGATTTTCTGAAAAGGATCTTAACTTGAACTGTGCTTTCTCTTTTCTACTGTTTTTCATTTCAGCAACCTATTAAACTCAACCAATATATTTCTCAAATAAGTGAGTTCTCTCAGTAGCCAATATAAAGTATTAATTGTTACTCTAATTTTGTCAGGCACCTCCCTTAGAATAAAACTTGTTAACAGATCCACTTTTGAAATTGTTCCAGTATTGCTTAGCATCAATCTGCTTCAAATAAATCCATCTCAAAACAGTCTTGAACACACTCACTTTAAAGCTTTTCATTAGAAGTAGACAGAAATTTTAGCTTAAACTGGGTTAAAGAAAATCATACTTAGAAAGTTTTAGCACCTTTTAGGTGCAGCTGAAATTTAAGGACCTATGTGTATTGTTTATTATAGACTTATATTTCCACAGAATTATGATGCTTTCTGTCCTACGTCATACAAAAACACCAGTTAAATTTTGGTTTCTGAAAAACTATCTCTCCCCAACGTTTAAGGTAGGAGAAACATTTTCCTTTTATTATTCTTTAAAAATCTATAGTAGTGTAATATATAAAAAAATACAATACAATACAATAATAAAAAAATACAATTGAGTAATTATATAATTCAAATTAAATTTTCACAGTTGGAAATGAACTCTGGATGCATTAAATAGCAGTGGTGGTGAAAGTGTCGTGCGTCAGGTTCTTATTTTCTGGAACCCAAAGCCCGGTTATATATTATAACAATTTATTCTCTTCTGAGCTTGAAAAAAATGCTTTTTATATTTACATAGCTGAAGATACTGTTAGAGCTAAAGAAACATTTTAAAATAGTAATTTATGTAGTCAGTAAGGCCAACACAGCTGCAACCATGTTTCAACATTCCCTCTTTTTCCTTTTGAGTCCTTCTGTGTCACATATATGTGCAACTAATAGTTTTTTGTTTGTTCTTCTAGGACGTTATTCCTCACATGGCTAAAAAGTATGGTTTCAAGTATGAGTTAGTACAGTATAAGTGGCCTCGCTGGCTTTATCAGCAGACAGAAAAACAAAGAATTATCTGGGGCTACAAAATTCTTTTTTTGGATGTTCTTTTCCCTTTGGCTGTGGATAAAATAATATTTGTTGATGCTGACCAGGTAAGAAGAAGTAATGCTGTATAAATGTTGGAGGAAATCATTTGAGCTTAAATTGATCCAATTTCATTCTCTGTGGCCATTTTATCCAAATGTTGCAGAATGTGAAATGAAATAATTTCACTTGTCTTTAGTCATATAGAAATTAAGAATCTCATCACACAGTTGCCCTAAATTGCCTCTAATGCCCATGGAGAGAGAAAGGCACCTGGGAAGTATGTGCAATCTAAAGGTACATTTCACCTAAGGCATATTCAAGTGATTCAGTCTCTCAGCTGATTGAGAGAGGGCTTTTCCACTCGCTGTGGAAGGGGCCTGAGGTGATGATGAAGATGAATTCTGCCTCTTTTGTTCTTAAATTTGTATGCAGTCTTTCACTTGGAAATTAATATTGTATATTATATTGAAAGGTAATGTAGTCTCAAACAGATGAGACATGGAAGAGTCTATCACACGGTTATTAAAAACCTCAGCACAAATATTACAGATTTTGGTCCTTTTCTGAAGCTTGAGAATAAATTAGATTTAGGTATAGACATGCAGACTGCAACTTTCTGCAATTTCACTGGATAGAGTAGTAGCAGTACTGGTTGTCTGTTCTAGCTACTGTAAGGATAAACAGCTAAAACTTTCTTACTACTGATAAATTAGTGGGGTTTGATGGAAGAATGATTGATTAGTAAATAAAGGATATTTATAATCTTTTTTTAAAAGTACATTACTACAAGATACAAAGATTTTCAAATGATGCATTAATTTTGGAATGCCCAAGTTCATGTAACAAATAGGAAGGATTTTTTAGAAGGGAGATGCTCAGTAGATTTTGAAAATTATACTCCTGCACGAAGGAATTGAATATTGGGCAACCAGAAATGTGGGTCTATAGATTAAAAATACTTTGATTGCTTTATTTAATTTACTTATTAAATGTGTTCAACAGACAGGCACAGAATAAACACATATTTTTTTCCTTTAACAATAATTTGGTAAATGTCATTCTGGTGGAATACTTTAGCTATACTCCACTGTTGTAGTATCTCAGTTGTTTTTTGGTTGTTTTGTGGGGTTTTTCTAAATTAAAATTGGATTTTTGGAAGGTGCTGCCATAACTACTCTTATATGCACACCTTAAAAACAGTATTAAATTATAAAAATAAATACATTTTTATTTAGATTGTGAGAAGTGACCTAAAAGAACTCCGAGATCTAGATCTAAATGGAGCTCCCTATGGATACACACCTTTCTGTGACAGCCGTAAAGAAATGGATGGGTACCGTTTCTGGAAGTCAGGATACTGGGCATCACATCTTGGGAAAAGGAAATACCATATTAGGTAGGATAACTCCTTACATGTTTTTGTGCTGTTTGTGAATTTGATTAAAATCTGGGTCTTGCTATTGATCACTGACACAGTCAAAAGCAATTGCCCTGTAGTCATTCTCAGCTAGAGATAAGGCATGAATTCTGATGACATATTGATTTTACTTTTTTATTGTAGCTTCAGCTGCTTAATTTAAAAAATATTCCTTTAGGATGGGAACAGTTTTTGGTTTCTTGTTACTTTTATTAATGTTATCAAAAAGAAGGTGAAACTGCACAAATCTTAATTCTTTTTTTTAAATCTTTGTAGTGCCTTATATGTTGTGGATCTTAAGAAGTTCAGAAAGATTGCAGCTGGAGATAGGCTTCGGGGCCAGTACCAGGCTCTTAGTCAAGATCCAAACAGTCTATCAAATCTAGATCAGGTATATGTGACTTTAAGCAATTTGGGTTTTATTTCCTTTATATTTCTCAATATGCATGGAATATTTTGTATTTCAATGTGTATGTTATATAATTCTGAAACTATTTGCCCTTTACTGCTGTTTTAGACATTTCCAGGTGTGCATATGAGCACAGTTCAGAAAATTGAACACTAGATGATGATTACTTTAAATAATTGTTTAAGATGGAAAAAAGGAGTAAAAAAGCATAGAGGACTGCTGTCCTTTATTTGTAGTTGTTCTATGTGCATTTGTGGTTTTCTAATCATAATCCTATATGCTGATAATGGTAATTATATTCTTATTTAGCAAGAACTTTTTCCTCTTTCTTCTTTTCCATTAATATAAATTCAATTTTTGTAAGCTAACTGCTAATGCACTCTAGTGGTTGCTGTACATGGTCACCCTGGGGTGACTGTAGTCTTCATTTATATAACTCCACCAATGTTTACACCTAGGTGGGGTAAGTCAGGGTGCAAGTCACAGGCATGTATGTAGATACCACATGTACAGAACGTACTTAAATTTATTATTTTCTTCTGTAGTAGCGGTTCCTTAGCTCAATCGAAGATTGATAATACAGCTCACCCGATTTCTGCTTAAGTGAATAGTACTCTTTATTTACATCTGTCTTTGGGTGAACTTCAGAAGGCTTAATAAGTGAGATTGTTCCTGCTTTTTAATTTTCCTTGTGGATTACTAAAGCACAAAAGGTTTTTACCTGCCTATAGCAGAGAAGGGATCCCACAGTAGCAAAGCTCACGTCTCTTAGTGTCTGCATTCCGCCCCCTTACTCTGCAAGTGAGTTTCTCTCTTACATAGAGATGTTATTGCCACTTGATTTTTTTTTTTCCTGAAATAAAACTAGAAATTGAAAATAGCCATTTTTATGATACTGGACAAAGAAAAGTAGAAATACAGCTATACTACAGACTCAAACTAGACAGGGAGCTGGAGCAGCCTTAAGCTGTAACTGTTAAGAGCAAAAGAGCTGATATAACAGCAACAGTCAGATTTTCCCTCTCTTTTCTGGACTGAAATGAATTAATAATTGGCCCTGTACCACACATGAGCTGTGATTTGCTGTATGTTTTTCAAGCATAGTCTCACCTAGATGTACAAGGTGTCTTTCAGAAAGACCTTTACTATTCAGAAGCTGGTTACAGGGCATCCGTTGTAATGCCGCTTTTCAGAAATAGTGATTAGTTTTATCTAACGTTCACAAAATACTAATAATGTTTGTCTTGCCATTTTTAGAGTCGTACGTTTTCAATTACAGCATTAATACATGAAAGCATGTAAGTCTTACAAGTCTCTTGGATCAAATTGAAAACCACTTGTCAGCTATCTTTCCCTTAGCATGTCAGTGCTGAGAGCAGACGTTAAGGTAGCTAAATTTTGGCAGAATGGGATTTGAATTGCTTTGGAAAGGGAAATACTTCAAAGTAATATTTTTGTAGTAATCTCTTTTCTGACTCTATCGATAGGAATCACTTTCTGTCTTCATTGCTACTACTTATACCAAATACAGCATCGTTCCTAGAAATATCAACCACAGTGCAATATATTTTATGAGAGTTCTGGAGAGCATTTATCTACTGGTAGGGATGCATTATGATGAATTTATTTCTTTTTATTTTTATTTTAAATACCTGACTGGAGTGCTCGCTGCCCTTCTCAAAGAAGTAATCTCAGCTCTTTGCTAATCTGCCAGCACTGCTGTCTTCGTGGGTGGCAGTTAAGTTTACGTTAATATAAACCACAAAATAGAAGTAGATAGAGTGGGAAAAAAGGTACTTTAAAATGCTAAGGATAGTAAGTAAAGAACTCCGAGGGAGAAAAATTACACATTATAAAAACTAGACTTCCAGTGCAGCGTATTTAATTGTTCGTTTTAAAGAGAAGCATGGAAATGTCTATATAAAGATGACAAAACAAATACTTGACAAGTATTTATAGCGATTCATTAAAAAATAGATAATTAACCATCTTGTTCTTTATTTACAGAATAAAAATTAGCAGAAAGGAATGTAAGAGTAGGGTCTTTTATTAGGGGGAAATGGTTTAATTTTTTTTAATTTAGGTTTTATTTTCTAATAAAGATGCTGCTGTAGAGCAGTCTCCCTTTCAAGTTAGGTAGGTTATCTGACTAAATGTGAAAACACTTGTAAATAAAATTGAAGAACAAATTTTAAATGTTGTGTGTGAAAGTCTAGAAGACTCTCATTTCAGCAGTTTGCATATTTTGGATGAACAAGAATTTTGGCAGTGGCAGTAAAAGCAATCTGGTCTTATCCTTGTACTTTTATTTTGCTGACTCACTAATACTTTCTCTTTCACCTTCTAGATGTATCTTAGTGTTTTTGAGGATAAATCACTTTCTTCTGAAAGGATAAGCAATTTTTTGTTCAGATTTTTTTTTTTTTTTTTTTTTTTTGCTATTTACTTTAAAACCTTGGAACTAGCAGCTGTCTTTCTACTCCATACAACAATTTGTAAACTCACAACTTTGAGAGTTACTGTAGTAACTCAGGATTTGTGATTTCGTTTATAAGGTCAGAGGGGCACAACAGAAAAACAACCTTTTTTCTCTTGAAATTGAGATAGTGATAAATCATTTATTTTATCTTCCTAAAATTCATGGGATTGAAATTTTTTTTAAAAAAAAAAATATTTAAATAATGTTTGACTCTCAGTGTACTTATACTTGATGTAATTTCCTGTACTAATTTCTGTAGTGGAATTAAATTATATGCCTTTTATAATGCAGGTATATGTGCTATTTTATTCTGCCACATTTACATTTAGCAATGTGAAATGGCAAAATAAGATGTGACTAATACTTCTTTGAGTACTGACATTTATTTTTTAAATATAAGGTAGGGGTTGCACATGTGAAGGAGATGATGAATGGATCTATCCATTACACCTGTTATTTTTAATGATGGCCAGAGTACATGCGGTGTATGACCGCATGAGGCTTTTCTCATCTGTAAATGCTGCTCCCTACACTCAGCAAGATATTGGTTCAGCTCAACAGAGCACTTGACCATACAATAAAGGTTAAAAAAAAAAAACTAAAAAAAAAATAAAAAAAGATATTTTAAGTGAAGTAAGGAAGGTAGCAAGGATAGCAGTTTAATAGCTTTTCATACTCGTTACTGGAATTGGTTTTCCTAGAAGGCAGCTAAATTTAGAGTAGTGGTGTAATCCTGGATTATACACTTTTGAAATTTTTTTTTCAAATTTGAGGAATGGAAAGATGGTTAAGTAATGCTTTAATAATTTCCCACAGTCTAATTCTGCTCGGTAGCATTTTTATTATGTATGCAGTATCTGAACCATAAATATCAGACAGGAGTATTGCGTATGTGAAGCTAAGGAAAGACGTAAGTAAAAGAAAAAATACATGAGAAATGAGAGGTGGAATTTACCATCAAAATGAGCACGACTAAATTTTGAATCTACTTGAAAAAGAACTAGGTGAGCACTTAGAAGGAAAGCACTAAGAACAATTTGCAGAAACGGTAATAGGCTAAGATATTCTGCTTTTAAGTAGTTGCCTGATAACCAGTTACATTAAAAGCAACGCTAATTTGTAATTTTACACAATTTGTACAGGATCTGCCCAATAACATGATTCATCAAGTAGCTATTAAGTCTCTCCCTCAGGAATGGCTTTGGTGTGAAACCTGGTGTGATGATGAATCCAAGAAAAAGGCTAAAACAATAGACTTGGTGAGTTGATTTTGAGTTAAATTAATTTTATAGATTAAAAACTCTGATGTAATTTCTGTGGCTTTTGAGATATGTGTATGTGATGCCTCAGCCTTGCTGGGAGGCACTGGAACACTGCTTCCCTTCCCCTGCAATACACCAACTTTCCTCCTTTCCTCTGAGATCTCTCCCACTTGCTCTGTACCAAATTTACTTGTGTTAAACTGTACCCTAAACCTAAATGTTGCTATCTGTAACTGGGCAGGACTGGGGTTTTTCACACCTGCACATGGCAGCCACTGCGTTGAAGGACTCCGG